TGTTACAGTTATGATGTTACAGTTATGATGTTACAGTTCATACCGTTTGTAAACAAAAGATCAGGGACGCCCCTAATCCTGTCTCTTTTGTCAAAGTGTTCTTGTTAGCGGGGGAAATAAAACGTTTGAAAAATGTCAACCTAGTGTTGTTGTTGTTGTTGTTGGCATTGAAATGAACGCTTCTTTTGAGAGAGATGGATGGCCCTGAAAAGGGCCGTTTTTTAGAGTGTACCTCACTCAAGGGACCAGAGCTGGCACCTACATTGGCAGGGATGAATGACCATCTTTGTTTTTACAGGGCACTTGCTCCCATGAGTTAAACGCCTGTTATAAGTGTCCTTTAACGCGGTCTTGCAGTAGACACATTGAAAGGTACCATTGTACACAATGGTGCCATTGGCGTAGACGGGTAGGCAGCCATGACATCGTTGGCACTGCCATGCCGGTAAGGGTGGTGATGCTGTCTCCAACAACATGAGTTCCAGATCCCAGTTTTCTCCAGACATGATTGCTGGTTGTAACACTGCTTCCGCCACCCCTCTCATCATATATAGTGAGAGCTCACGATCATGACGTCACCGGTGCCACGTCATTACCCTCACGCGCGACAATGACGTCATCGATACCACGTCATTACCCTCACGCGCGACCATGACGTCATCGATACCACGTCATTACCCTCACGCGCGACCATGACGTCATCGATACCACGTCATCGATACCACGTCATCGACGACACGTCATCGCTGTCTCGTCGCCCATATATAAACTCCAGCATGGGTCAGTGAGGGCTATCTTCATGCAACATGGATACAAGAAAAGTGGAAGTCATGCGACCGGCGCCTTACCGGAAAAACTGTGGTAGACGGCAATGTTTGCGGTGCAGCCCTACCTTACAAGGGAAGGCTGACATCAAAATGGAAGAGGCATCAACAACACCTACAGAACTGATACCCACAACGGCAACAGAAGCAGCGGCAGCCTCACCACCACCACCACTACCACCTACGGCAGCAGACACGGTAGCCCCACCACCACCACCAACAACAACAACAACATTACCGAAATGGTCATCCAAATGGCGACTGATTATCTGCCCTTACTGTTTTAAAGCGTATCCCTCGAATCGCTTTGATGTCGTTCCAGGAGCTGACTTCTACATATGCCTCTACTGTGGGGGAAGGGATCATCAAGAGAGGGCAACAGCAGCACGATGATGTGTGCCCCGGAAAATTTATTTTTCGGGGTCTCCATCTCCTCTGTGAATGCTAACCTGCCTGGTTCACATACCAACGGCCCTTTTCAGGGCCACCCACCTCGCTCGAAAGAAAACCTGAATGACAAAAGCTTTTAACCACCCACCCACACACACACACACTTCTCTAGCCACGCCATCGTCCGCCTCACCCCTCTCCCTCCCTCCCTCTCACCTTTCCTCTCCCTCCCTTCCCTCTCCATCCCGTCCGTCGCTCGTCCGTTCCGCCATCTTGAAAGGCGTCTACGCTCGCGAGATCCCGCGAGAGTCCACGAGATCCCCCGAGATCTCACGCACGCGATCCCACCGGATGGGCCGCCCTCTTGAAACGCGTCCGCCATCTTGGCCCGGAGGTGACGTCATCGTCATGCGCGCGCACCACCGGAACCGGACGTGACGTCATCGCCATGCGTACGCACCGGAACCGGAACCGGAACCCGAGTGATCTCCCCCTGATGGCGGCACATCCGGTCTCCATGGACGTCGCCATCTTGATCCAAGATGGCGGCGCCCATGGAGACCGGATGTGCCGCCATCTTGAAAATCCCGCCAGGGTGACATGTTAGACTACTGAGGAGTGTACCTGTGGTTGTCACAATTTATTTCATTAATAGTGTGTTGATAGAGATACTCGATATTGGTCTACAGGGGAAGCTTGTTCATCCAGATGGTTCAGTCCACTGCTGGATCAGGATGGCAAGTGGCTTTACATGTCTCTGAGCGTATTGACAGTTGTAGTACATGTACAGGTCTTTTGAAGAGACAGAACTCCGAGCCAGGACCCAAACATACCCCATCGCCTATCAGTATCACCATACACTACCTGTCAGCCATCACTGAGAACAAAGCCAGCACAGATGTCACCTTTCCAGCGGCAAGGCTTTCAACGCCCATCTGCGGGCCATTGTCACAAGCACCAGGATCCGGGTATGAATTTGTCTTCAGCAACCCATGCTTGTCGTAAGAGGCAACTAACGGGATAGAGCTCTCTGAATTGGTTGACACATGTCATCGTGTCCCAATTAGATCTATGCTCATGCTGTTGATCACTTGATTCTTTGTCCAGACTCGATTATTACAGACCGCCGTCATATAGATGGTGCGGCGTTAAACCAAAACCCAACCAACCAAACCAAATCTATTAATTCCATTACCAATCAGTGCTTATGACCGATCAGAATAATTTACTTGTGGCTTCCATTTGTATATTGTTATTATCATACAGCATCAATTAACAATTGGGTCGAACTTTGTCATCTTGTTACTTGTGTTTTCTCACATATACATATAAAAGCTCTTTTTGTATTCTAACGTCCATTCACTTCTAAAGAAGTTGTTATCCATAAAATTTGTCTATTTTGTATCAACCATTCAGCTGATGAAGGAGAAAGAATTTAGTCCGAAACCTTGTGTTTCTTAAACGAAAGTAGTTGACATCCAAACAACGTATCTGATAAATATGCACGTCCGGGATTTGCCACTCCCACACAAGCTGCTGAATAGATTTCAAATTTGACGACAATCAGCAACCACCAGCCACCAGATTCAAGAACAGAATGTTGACAATCCAGGGTATCGCTTTGTGACAGAGAACATATAATTAGAATTAAAATCATGATGTTTAGTTGATCTTGTCTGGCTGGTAATAATAGATAATAGATAATAGATAATACGTTATTTCTGTCCTGCTCTTTGGACAACATAAGCACAGAAAAGCTGTGACCTTGGACAACAGCCCTCACAAAGATGGTGAACCTATTTCCGTTCTGTACATCTCGTCTAGGATTGTTGGGAATTGACGTTTTCTAAAGGTTAAGGTTACAAAGGAGGAAATTACCAGTGCATATAGGCAAAGATACCGACGTATAGAAAACGACCAAACATTGCCAATTTCATGATGTACATAACATTAACACTAAACCATGCATTACAGTCCGAAAGGTGGTGCCAGCAAAGAGATCTTTTAACTACAGTGAACATACCAAATTCCTGTCATTGCAGTGAAAATATCCCTTTTCTGCAACTGAGAAATCGCAGTCTTTCACACTTAAGTATATATTAAATTTACGTAACAAAACTTAGAGGTACAATGTTTATGGTCTGAAAACATTAAAAACTGATGCATCAGTGACAAAACTGATGTCCGATGAAATTCCTTACTTTTGATCTGTACCATTCATTCCCGAAATCACTTTTTGCGAAGATCTAATATAATCAACATTTGAAAGTGATTCGTAAATACATGCTCTGTCATCGTATCTCATGAAGTCAATCACTGGAATGTCTGGTCCAGACTCGATTGTTTACAGACAGCCTTGTACAGCTGTAAAGCTGAATGCGATGTCAAACAAACAGTCAGAATTGTAGAATCCATTCTGCTATTATCTGAAATTTCTGACGGATGTGGAAAGGGTTTTGTCGTCGTTTCTGTTAGAGCCTGAAAATTAACAACACTGTAATACCAGAAGTAAAATAAAGAGATATTTTAATTCAATAAATTTGCTGGCTGTTTCAGTAAAGGTAGATAGCAAAATATAGAAGTGTCTGGAGTAGCATACACAGTTGGGCGTGGTGTAGCGCACCCCCTCAACGGCTGTAGATAAAGAAGGGCTGCCAGATATCCAGGGCAGTTATCAAAATCCTCATTCACAACCTTTACAGTTGGGCGTGGTTTGGGGCTCCCCACTCCACGGCTGTAGGAAAACTATAGGAAACTATAGACTTACATCTTGTACACACACATCACCAGCATCCAGGTAAGTTCAGGCCAGGAAACTATAGACTTACATCTTGTAAATACAGGTTACCAGCATCCAGGTAAGTTCAAGCCAGGAAACTATAGACTTACATCTTGTAAATACACGTCACCAGCATCCAGGTAAGTTCAAGCCAGGAAACTATAGACTTACATCTTGTAAATACACGTCACCAGCATCCAGGTAAGTTCAGGCCAGGAAACTATAGACTTACATCTTGTACACACACGTCACCAGCATCCAGGTAAGTTCAAGCCAGGAAACTATAAACTTACATCTTGTACACACAGGCTGTACATACTGTACATATTGTACCCACAAGTCACCACTTCCGTGGTGTGCTGGGTGAACTGTCAGCCTTGAAGACGTTAAAAAAAGCACACTTTCTTACTCTGGCACTCGGTCATCAGTTAGTTAAACAGGACTGGTCTGCTGTGTATCAGTATAATATATATGAGAGGGATAACCAATGTGACATGCTGTCCAAGCACATAAACCAACGTGCATGACCCTCGCTTCACGTGCAATGATGTTCAACGTTGTGCTTAACCTCATTCCTCCAAGGTACGAATAATACATTTAAGACTGAACGCCCTTAGAAAGATCTGATTGAGTCACACTCTTGTACTTCTTCAAATCCTAAAATTGTTCCTGAAATCACATAAAATCGAAATTTTAACATACATTTAATCCTGTCAATGCACTTTGTGTTTTTGTTGATTCAGAGTGAACATATATGTCTGGTTGAAGATAAATGTCTGGTTGTCATTCAAATGATCATGTCTAAAAGTGTTGCTCATATCGAATTTTGTCCAGAAGGGCCAATAACACCTTGTCATCTATTGCCTTGTATGACCAAATAGCAGGTCGTGTGTGTCTTGTATCATTATATTTTCGATAGCTGTGTAACAGAAACGTATACCTTTTGATATTTAGAACTATGAAGGGGATATAGTTGGATCATCTTCAGGCTGCTCCAAACCCTGGACAATGGTCAACCGGAAGACCAAAGGTGTCCATTACGCCGGAGACCATTACTGTGTTCGGTTGACAGGTAACGTGTGCAGTGGGTCTGGCGATCCCAGCGGAACTGCCGTCCTCGTCGACGTCACCAACGATGGACAGACGCTGCCTCTTACCCCTGTTGTTACAGGTCAGTGACCTTCTGTGATACGTTCACGTGTATGTTTGGTGACTTATGACATTAACCGTGTGGCATTGGCGTTTTAAACGTACAGAGAGACTGGTAGCGCCGTATATTGTACGTCATCATGTTTTCTTGTGTTGATGCACAGATCACTGAATATTCCACCATACATGACATTATCACAAAGCCAACTTGTGTTCAAGCAGACAAATCTTGGATTCAACACCGCTTCCAATAGAATTCATGTTATATCACGTCATAACAGTTACATCCCATGCCTCACTCAGTCGAAAGATGGGTATAGTGTTGACAAACCATGAAACATAATCGGGCTTATCAGGATTCAACTTGTGATCTTAGGTTCCTGGCGTGACCAGGGGCCGCCACTCTACACAGCGAACAGCAGTCCCTATGACGACAGGTGCCCTCGGTGCCTTTGTTTTTATAAACTAACTTTGACATCAATGAATACATGTTAGCAATAGCGTCATGTAAAGACAATAACACGAATATCATTTAGTTATGTGATTGACAATCTAAGACTGTCTTTAGTATACGTTTTGATCATGGGACCTGAAAGGATTGGGATTTCAGCATGTGTTTGTCTGCCTGATCTTACTGTTCAATTGCTTACACGCTTACATGTAAAGTCCATCCTTTGAGTTCCCAGTCCTCAAAAGGGCTTGGGCATTGACAAATCACCGCAAAGACAGAAGAATTCTAACACGCTCTACTTTAATAGTATTGTAAAGTATCTATGCATCGTACTGATGCCCCGACCTCGTCCACATGAACAAGAAGTGAACTCCAGCGAATATCTCAATATCGGACTGTTTCAATACGAGATTGGGGGCAAATGGCGCTTCCTAACTACATGAATAGACCTTCCACGTGAAGCCAATGACTATTTGATGACTGTGCAACCACTATCTGTCGCCAGGAGCCCAAGCAACTAAGTACAACTATGCTGAGATCCTGATGAAGTCCATCTTGTTCTACGAAGCTCAGAGATCCGGGAAACTCCCCCCTGACAACAGGATCCCATGGCGAGCTGACTCCGCCCTCAACGACAAGGGTGCTAACGGGGAAGACCTCACTGGAGGATGGTACGACGGTGAGTATCTATTGGCATACAGTTGCTGCAAACCAAAAACATGTTTTCTAAAGTATGTGTTTGAATGGAAATGTAGTGTATTTTTACGTTTTTGGTCACACTGTATTTAACATTTGTATCCTTTTCCTTGCACGTTTACATAATATTGGCGACAAACACAAGTAAAGTAAAAAATGCGACCTGTTCTTGCCCGTGTGCATGCCAGATTGAATCTTCCTAAATTCTATCAACACCATATTTGTATGTCTCCCTACGTTTCTTTTCCTTTGATAATGGGGCGGTGGTGTAGTCTAGATAGATTGAGTGAAGTCCATCTCTGGTGTTCACTGCCGTGATGTGTCTGGAATATTGCTAAAGCGGCGTAAAACCATACACACTCACTCACTCCTTTGATAATGGGGCGGTGGTGTAGTCTAGTGGTTAAAGATAGATTGAGTGAAGCCCATCTCTGGTGTTCCCTGCCGTGATGTTGCTGGAATATTGCTAAAAGCGGCGTAAAACCATACACACTCACTCACTCCTTTGATAATGGCAGTGATACATATTTTGTTATATTGTTGTAATGAACTTAAAATAACTTACGAACTGTCCTTTGATAACGAAAAACACGTATGAATCGAATAATGAATTAATACTGAATGTTTCACAATACCGAGGATTGTGGGACATATTGGGGAAATACTTTATGAATTTGATTGTCTCAGGACAATGTGTCTTGGTCTGATAAAGCGCTATGACGTTACTCTTTCAGCTGGCGACAACGTCAAATTCAACTTCCCCATGGCGTTCAGCACGACCCTCCTGACGTGGAGTCTGCTTGAATACAAGGACGCCTACGAGAAGAGTGGTCAACTGGAGAAGATGTATGAATGCATCAAGTGGCCGCTGGACTACTTCATCAAGTGCCACACCAAGCCCAACGAGCTATACGCACAGGTATAGAGGTTTACCTTAGTCAACGTCGAAGATATAACAGTGATATATAAAACTGTCGTAAGCAGGTAATTGCAAGGCGTTGGTTTTGAAAAGGGTGACTGGCAACCCATCTAAATATAGACTTGTGTCAAAGTATGTGTGAATACTGATCTGATTTCAAATGATCCGTGGTTTGTTTATGCAGTGGCTATAGTGGCATCTGGAAGACATGGCAATAGGAATTATACATTTTGGAACATTTGAAAGATTTGGAATTTGCATTTTTCTGTTTAAATTTATACCTGACCTTTTTATTTCAAAAATACGACCAAACCTTATATCAACAAATGGAAAGAATGAAGTTTGTTTTTCATCCTAACAAAATCTTAAATGATTATGAAGGTTGGAGATGGCGGTGCTGACCACGGCACATGGACAAGCCCAGAGCGAATGACCGGACGTAGACCAGCCTTCAAGATTGATGCATCGGGTCCAGGGTCAGATCTGGCCATGGAGACAGCTGCAGCCATGGCCGCTGGATCCATGGCCTTCAAAAAAAAAGGTAGCATTAAACCGATCTGAATTGCCCACGTACCAACGTTAGATGAATAGCCCTAGTGGGCAATGCGATGGCTCGTCATGCTCCAGGGTTCGATTCCCAGCATTATATTGAGTATGCTCACTTATGCATTCCCCAACATAATATTACTGCAACATTAATTATGGCGGTGGAAAGTTCGACTTCAGAGAAGGTTTTGGCAAATGAGAAGTCTGTTCCCATCTATGTGACGGATAAATAGTTACTTCTTAGCCATTGCAGCTTCATGGGAAATCAATATTCCTGAACTTGAATCGTCCAAGGAGAGATAACATACTGTAGCCAACAGTAGTTGTAAATGTTTTCGTCACTTCCCGATGGCGACCGTGTAGCTGATGAATCAACAGCATTTTACAACATCGATATCTATGGCTAAAACGTATCTTTCTATCTTATATTAAATACAAAGCGAAATAAACCGTTCCTCCGACTTAAAGTAATTTTCAAAAGTGACAACGAAACAGTTAATAGTTGGACAAACTAATAAATGCACGTCAAGCTGTAACATATTGACACGTGTTTTCTCTGTTCGTGCCCTGTCAGACCCCGACTACTCGCGCACCCTGCTGAAACACGCCAAGGAGCTTTTTGAGTTCGGGAAGGCTCACCAGGGGAAGTACAGCTCAACTGTTTCCAATGCCGCTGCCTTTTATGCGTAAGTACACAGGTCTTACTCTGTTTTGTGACAGCAAATATTCCCCAAACAGGAAAGGGTTTCATCTACATTGGCACAGGGGTCTATGAATAGTCAGCCTGTGTTGCTTGCTCAAGGGCAGTTTAGCTCCGACTGTCACAAGTCTATGTTAAGGTTTGGGAGTTGCGCTTAAGGCATCGCTAGAACTGTTTTGTGCAAATGGACCGTAGCTAGTATAGGGCCATGATATGCGAGCTACAATGTGACTAGCAGACATCCCGCAACTTGGGACATGCAAGACAATGGAGTACAAGTTATAGAAAGTCTTCACAGCATCAACTAATAATTATCATCGTCATCTTCAATAATATCATTATTAATGCAATCATTGTCATTACAGATCTCAGGATTACGAGGACGAGAACAGCTGGGGAGGCGTGTGGCTGTACAAGGCTACTGAAGACAAGACTTACCTAGAATATGCAGAGCAACACTTCGTGAACAAAACAGCGTGGGGATTCTCCTGGGATGAGAAGATCGGCGGTGCCAATGTAAGTGAAAATCCCGATTGAAGGCAGCTGGAATATAGTTCTGCACGAGAGAGAAGTAATATAACCGTTTGATTTGATACGAAACGTACTTAAGGATTAATCAAAGCCTGAATCTCGTCACAATTACTCAGCTTTGATATTTACCTCCTTCGAGGTACACGGATTTGAACAAAACATATGCTTTAGAGTGAATCAGTATTTGAAATCGTGTCTTCTTGAAGCAGTGCAGCGGAAATTATTTCAGCGCATGCGAACTGGAGAGCGGGAAGTGCGAAAGGTTAAAGAACCACTAAACTTTGTTTTTGTTACTCTTTAACCATTACATATGAAAGATTTGTGGTTAGTCTTATGCGGAACACCAAATTTATTCTTTAAAAACTTGTGGTTAATTAATACCGAGCGATTAAAAGTGGCCAAAAAGTCGCCTGCTTCCCTCTCGCCCGCCAACGAAACCACAGACAGGTTACGTAACTCTGTCGCCAGAGCACTGCAGTGACGTCATATGAGGAACGATTTTCAGTTAGTTGTATAGAAAATGTGTAGCACGCTCATCATTTTGATGATTTCTCGACATCAACGATGACATGCCGAATCGTTGCTTTGTCGTCAATTGCTCCTAGTGGTCGGGCGATGGTGTCCCCATGCACAGATTTCCACAGGACCCCGCAGTTCGTGCTAAATCGGTTATGTTTGTGAGTGCGAAGCGAGCGTTGTGGAAGCCTGAAACGATATCTTACTTGTGTTCAGATCGCTTCACTGAAGTTAAAGAATCAAAACTACTTACTAGTTGTTGTAAAATATGCATATGATTGATGACCATAAAGATTTTCTATGACACAACTTGTAACATAACGATTTCTTCCTCGGAAGTGAGGTTGTGGTCGAAGTAACAATAATATTGTAAGTAGTATTATATTGACACCCACCTCGCTGCCACGAGAGAAATTGTTATGTTATACGCTATAAATATGCAAAAATCCTATTGGCCATCAATAAAATACATATTTTACTACCAGTAGAAAGTAGTTTTGATTTTGTAACTCGGTGAAAACAAACCTAAATACCATTTATCCTCAGACTGGCGGATGTTCCCGACAGGGCGCCGCCATTTTTAAAAATAAAAAATCTGTTAGAATTAATGAGATTATAGTTTGTTTTCATCAAGTTAGATAATCAAGACTACTTTCTACTCGTAGTTAAATATGTATTGGAATCATAACCAAACGGATTTTGCATGACACAACTTATAACATAACGATTTCTTCCACGGAAGCGAGGTGGGGGTCGAAGTCACAATACTGCGCGATAAATTTCTTGCTACATTCCCATGGTTAATGTCCACTCACCAGTATGTAGATACTAGTCAATGTGCGTCTTTATATTTGGTCTTATAATCCTAATTAGTTTATTATCATACTTGTATGCATTTTGAAACTAAATAAAAGCAGACGATCTGCTGATACTTATAGTGAATTTATAACAGAACTGTAATATCTAGACATTTTATAGTTTGCCAATGTGAATCATAATTCGCACACACACCCTAGTGCATGTTGTCTGACTCATTACACTTCACGGCGAAAACAATGATTCTGTTGAATGCTACGACAAATGAATAAAATCAAAATGCAAATATTAAAATTAAAACAGATTAAAGTTATAGGAACAATATCAGGCCATTACCTTGTTCGAGGAATGTATCCATCAATATCCACAAAACTGTTCCAAATGATGTGTCTTTTAACAGTTTAATATACGAAAAAGTGATAAATCTTTTCAGGTATTGGTGTATAGTCTCATTGGTCACCCAAGATAGCACACCTGGCAACTAATTGCATAATGTCCGCCTTTCTTTAAAAACAGTAATTTAGTTAGCCAATAATGGGCAATCAATCAATGTATTGCCGGTTAATCCTTTGAAAGAAGGACGTTGTTTTTACGCAGACACCGACACGACAGAGTGTATTCAGTATAGATTAGTAAATCTACATACATAAACACTACCTTTGACAATTCCGCTGTGTAAGATAAAAGTAATTAATCAATCAGCGTGTTATCGGTTAATCCTTTGATCGATGTTTATAATGTTGAATATTTACTCCAGACACAAGAAATGCCAAATGGGAACCTTTGTCGGGTAATCTAAGTGTGTTACCACTAATTATACCTGTTATAAATTCATTAACTGACCATCAAGTGAATGATGACAAATAACATGTGTAGGTTTATACCACCTAACACGGGTTACAACAAGGAGTATTAATTGCTGTATTGCATGTGAAAACTTATGGGCCGACACTGTTTTGAGAATACAAACAGATTTTACATGACATGATTAAATATCGAGGTAAAAAAACACAGAAATGGGATCGATTTGGATCAGTCATTATACAAATAGGGCCTAACGACACCAATCGATTTTGACAGAATCGTCTATGAAAACAAGTTGTAACTCGGAAACTAGGCAAAGCAGGAGACAAAATTAAATGACAGTAGATTGTGAGAACATATAGCTTTTATTTTCCACAACAATTGTCACGATTTCAGGTTTATACAAGCCTGTAAACAAGATAATTTAACCCCTAAAATGTAGATGAATTCTGCATCGGCCCTCAAAGCTATTCCTCATATGACGTCACAGACGCGCGCCGCTCTGATTGGTTGAAATTTCGTTCGCGGGTGAGAATTGTGCACTGTTGTCAAAAAGGTCGATTTAAGTCAATTAAAGGTCGAAATGAGTAGTTTTAATGACGGGGTTTCATTTATAACGATGCCAGTTAGTGATTGATGTATTTTTACCCCCTAGGGTTTATGTGACCTTGATATGTGGGGTCATAAAAAACTCTCCATTGCCTGCAGCAAACACGGCCTTCCTCGCCCTGGCGGCCGGTGACGCTTGGCTCAACACAGACTCATACCGGAAGTGGGCCATGACGCAGCTCCACTACGCATTTGGCGATACAGGAAGAAGTTTTATTGTCGGATTTGGCGTCAATCCACCACAGAGGCCACATCACAGAGCAAGGTTGGTAGACGTAACACTGAGGGATCAATGTGAAACCAATGATCCCTATCAGGACTGACACATCTTTGTTCAGCATGATGTGGTATCGACTAACTGAGACAATGGCTTAATTAAAAAGACTGAGAACACGCCATGTTGTGAAATAGGTATTTAAATTTATGATAAAAACAGGAATACCTTACACAAGTTGCATCACTTTAAACGTACTTGAATTTGATTGGTAGCTTTTTGACAGATAACCGTGTATCACACTACTTTTTGGTATCACCTAATAACTATATAACATAAGCTCCTTACAGGGAGACCGTTTCCGTGGTGTAGTGGTTAGAGCGTCCGCCCAGAAAGCGGAAGGTCGCGGGTTCGATCTCCGACCGCGTCATACCAAAAGACGCTAACATGTGGTACTTATTGGTCCCTGCCTGGCACTCGGCATTAATGGGTACAACAAGGACTTGTCGGCTCGGAGTCAGTATAATGTGTCTGAGTGGGGTATTCATGCCTCGACCCGTGAAGATCCGGGATAGCATAGGTCTTTAGCAACCCATGCTTGCCACAAAAGGCGACTATGCTTGTCGTAAGAGGCAACGAACGGCATCGGATGGTCAGGCTCGCTGACTTGGTTGACACATGTCATCGGTTCCCAATTTGCAGATCGATGTTCATGATGTTGATCACTGGATTGTCTGGTCCAGACTCGATTATTTACAGACCGTCGACATAAAAGTGGAATACTGCTGAGTTCGGCATAAAACTAAACTCGCTCACTCTCTATTCATGCTTCGCTACGGCATGGTATCTCAGTGGGCTAGCATTATAAAACCAGCTTAAGTCTGGGCTAGTACAAGCAGCCGCTCATACAAATACACACACATATACGTCGCATGTATGTGAGCGAAATATTCTCAAGCACGACGTTAAACCCAATTTCACCTCACCTCACCTCAACTCCCCTTACAGGGAAACGGCATTGTATAATGTATAGTATAATTAACTTTGGATGTACGTGATGCACAGAGCCAAAACACAAACACCTCTCAATCTCAGCCTCATGGTTTCATGAACCCTGATGTTCGGGGTACACGGCCCCACCATTGAAAATGAACCAATATCCCCCTCAAGATGACCTTACAACTACGGACCAGAGTGGCTGGAACACGGTTGGTATAGCAACCAGCGCTGGAAGGTAATCCGGCGCAGGGGCTCACCTAACCAAGTGTTAGACACATCCAGTACAGGTGAAACAACCTGCTCATCCAGCAGTTGCTGTCCGTATTCCATCACACCACTTGGTTAAACAAGGGCCCGAGTGGGCACTATTGGCGGTACTATAACTATATACTAGTGACACATGTGCAACATTCCTACAGAGTGGTCCTTAAATTCTTTAATTAATACATGTTAGACTGTTCTCAAGTGCCAAAGGGAAACTTTAGAATGTACATTCTGCCTGTACCTTTTGAAATTCTGATTGTGTTACCAAATCAACTTCCCTTCATCAGCTCCTGTCCCATGCTTCCCGTTCCGTGTGAGTGGGAGTCTCAGACCCAGAAGGGCCCAAACCCCCACACCCTGTACGGTGCCATGGTTGGCGGCCCTGGTAGAGACGACAGCTACAAAGACGACAGAAAAGACTACGTCAAGAACGAGGTGGCGTGCGACTACAACGCCGGCATGCACGCCTCTACCGCAGGTACATTATATATACTTTTGGGGCACATACTGAATAAATATCATAATGGCAACATGAATAGAAACGGAAAGGGAGAGAGTGAATTAATTAGGTTGAAGCCGCTTGGAACCGTAGTCAGTAATGTGTCGCTGTGTAGGTTTGTGCTGGGGGAACGGGACGCAGTCCCAGCATTCTGTTTATATTTGACTATAACAAATATATTTACACAAATTAATGATGTTTTAATTTGTGTTTAATTCAAAGATCTCGGAATGTTTTCAAATATGTACTTCTTATGTACATATCTCTAACCTAACGTTTTCTCAGTTAACTTCTGTTGTAGTTTCTTGCCTATGATGTCACGTGTAACTATCGGGAAGAGGAATTGTCTAACTATCGGATAACTTGTGCCTAATCCTTTTCTTGACTGTTTAAAACAGTCTGAGTAACTATCTAATTATCCGTAGTTGGTATAAAGCCATTTATTCAGTACACATTCTTCCGGAACATCGCCACAGGTAATACAATAGTTGTAGTGGGGTATGATTTGGGGGGAAGGGTTTCTAGGACATATGTTACAAACACAAAACTAACAAACAGTTATTGTCTTGTGTAGTGCTACAATCTGTGGGTTAACAGTATATTTGTAAGAACATTTAATGTGTTCAGCTAACAGCCCCTTAACCCATCTAGTAATGAGGTTGTTTCAGGTGACGCCGTATCAGCTATCATGCAGCTCTAGGCGCCGTTGAGTTTCATAGAAGACGATGTAAGCAATGTAACTGTGTACGTTAAGATAACAACAATGGTTGTATGTTACAGCACTGGAACACCTCGCCATTGCACACGCCCTGCCAACAACGTACAAAGATGTGTGCCCCTGAACCACGCCTCGCTGTACATATAGATTAATTTTCATCCGGGAAAGACATCTTGCATGAAATAAATATTGTCACATTTCAGAGGCGTTTTGTCTATTATTATAGAATGGATTTTAAGTGGCGGCGTGCACTTGGTGCACAATATGTTGGTTTGCTAATTTCCCATAATATAAGTATTCCTCAGATTATACGTGGGGATGGCGTATTTAATTCGTTACTGTGGACGGTGTGCTGAGGTATAGTTCTTGACTCGGGTTCCATCCAAAAACGACGCTACATGATATATAATTTGTAATTTCCAAAGAGTTTCTTAAACTGTAATAACTGCAGAGTTGAAGTCGTTTGGAAACTTCTTGAAAACTCTTGCTAACATTACACAATGCCATTTAGAAAGTGGTCAAATGTAACATATGTACAAATTCTAGTACCTTGTTGGGTTGAGTCCCATCCGGGACTCGAACCCATCACCTGTTGCTAACAGTTCCTTAAAAATCGTTTAAATCATAAATTTTAAAGAGAAGATTTATCCAGTGTTTTTAACAAAATGAAGCTCGAATATATTTGATAACTGGTTCACTGTTGGTTTTGTAACCGACCTGCTCGTGATATCACCCTCTCCGGATGTCATGAAAAACAACAACAAGAAAACAACGTCAACAGTTCATCCTAACATCCCTCATCAACGCCAAAGACTGTCAGTAGAACAAACCGAGTCATTGTTGTCACAGACTAAAATATGTACCTGGGTTCACGACCTACCATGAACACCGGGTGTTACATAAATCTGCAGTCAGCAAAGCCTCGTCGTGGTCAATATGAAGTCAATGCTCCCGTCGCACTCTCATCCGGTTTGTGTACCCTGGAGGATGAGCTAAGCTGATATTAGCACAGTGAGAGGAGTGTACCTGTGGCTGTCACAATATATTTCATTAATAGTGTGTTGATAGAGATACTCGATATTGGTCTACAGGGGAAGCTTGTTCATCCAGATGGTTCAGTCCACTGCTGGATCAGGATGGCAAGTGGCTTTACATGTCTCTGAGCGTATTGACAGTTGTAGTACATGTACTGGTCTTTTGAAGAGACAGAACTCCGAGCCATGACCCAAACATACCCCATCGCCTATCAGTATCACCATACGCTACCTGTCAGCCATCACTGAGAACAAAGCCAGCACAGATGTCACCTTTCCAGCGGCAAGGCTTTCAACACCCATCTGCGGGCCATTGTCACAAGCACCAACATCCGGGTATGAATTGGTCTTCAGCAACCCATGCTTGTCGTAAGAGGCAACTAACGGGATAGGGCTCTCTGAATTGGTTGACACATGTCATCGTGTCCCAATTAGATCGATGCTCATGCTGTTGATCACTTGATTGTTTGGTCCAGACTCGATTATTACAGACCGCCGTCATATAGATGGTGCGGCGTTAAACCAAAACCCAACCAACCAAACCAAATCTATTAATTCCATTACCAATCAGTGCTTATGACCGATCAGAATAATTTACTTGTGGCTTCCATTTGTATATTGTTATTATCATACAGCATCAATTAACAATTGGGTCAAACTTTGTCATCTTGTTACTTGTGTTTTCTCACATATACATATAGAAGCTCTTTTTGTATTCTAACGTCCATTCACTTCTAAAGAAGTTGTTATCCATAAAATTTGTCTATTTTGTATCAACCATTCAGCTGATGAAGGAGAAGGAATTTGGTCCGAAACCTTGTGTTTCTTATACGAAAGTAGTTAACATCCAAACAATGTATCTGATAAGTATGCACGTCCGGGATTTGCCACTCCCACACAAGCTGCTGAATAGATTTCAAATTTGACGACAACCAGCAACCACCAGCAACCAGATTCAAGAACAGAATGTTGACAATCCAGGGTATTGTTTTGTGACAGAGAACATATAATTAGAATTAAAATCATGAAGTTTAGTTGATCTTGTCTGGCTGGCCAGATAATACGTTATTTCTGTCCTGCTCTTTGGACAACATAACCACTGATAAGCTGTGACCTTGGTCAACAGCCCTCACAAAGATGATGTACCTATTTCCGTTCTGTACATCTCGTCTAGGATTGTTGGGAATCGACATTTTCTAAAGGTTAAGGTTACAAAGGTGGAAATTACCAGTGCATATAGGCAAAGATACCGACGTATAGAAAACGACCACCCATTGCAAATTTCATGATGTACATAACATTAACACTAAACCATGCATTACAGTCCAAAAAGTGGTGCCAGCAAAGAGATCTTTTAACTACAGTGAATATACCAAATTCCTGTCATTGCAGTGAAAATATCCCTTTTCTGCAACTGAGAAATCGCAGTCTTTCACACTTAAGTATATATTAAATTTACGTATCAAAACTGAGAGGTACAATGTTTTTGCTCTGAAAACATTAAAAACTGATGCATCAGTGACAAAAATGATGTCCGATGAAATTCCTTACTTTTGACCTGTACCATTCATTTCCCGAAATTACTTTTTACGAAGATCTAATATAATCAGCATTTGAAAGTGATTCGTAAATACATGCTCTGTCATCGTATCTCATGAAGTCAATCACTGGAATGTCTGGTCCAGACTCGATTGTTTACAGACAGCCTTGTACAGCTGTAAAGCTGAATGCGATGTCAAACTAACAGTCAGAATTGTAGAATCCATTCTGCTATTATCTGAAATTTCTGACGGATGTGGAAAGGGTTTTGTCGTCGTTTCTGTTAGAGCCTGAAAATTAACAACACTGTAATACCAGAAGTAAAATAAAGAGATATTTTAATTCAATAAATTTGCTGGCTGTTTCAGTAAAGGTAGATAGCAAAATATAGAAGTGTCTGGAGTAGCATACACAGTTGGGCGTGGTGTGGCGCACCCCCTCAACGGCTGTAGAAAAAGAAGGGCTGCAAGATATCTAGGGCAGTTACCAAAATCCTCATTCACAACCTATACAGTTGGGCGTGGTTTGGGGCTCCCCACTCCACGTCTGTAGATAGGGAGGGACTGCCAGATCTCCATGGCAGCTACCAAGATCCTCATCCACAACCTTTACAGTTGGGCGTGGTTTGGGGCTCCCCACTCCACGTCTGTAGATAGGGAGGGACTGCCAGATCTCCATGGCAGCTACCAAGATCCTCATCCTGAACAGTTGATGTCAGATAATCCTCTATGGAAATCTCCCAAAACAGATCAACTTAAAAACACCTCTCTTTCACCGCGATGATCTGTCCTGTGTGCAGACGGTGCCTGTCTCCGACATTAATTCAGTTTCACTAGATTATAGAATTGTTAAGGGATTACACGCTGTACTTGATGGAAACGAGCAAGCAAGAATGTTCGCCTTATTCTTGCTTGTCACGATACGTGTTTATTTATAGTTGTTAGGTACGGCCGTGTGTCTAGATTCCAGGAATTTCTACACATTGCACCTAATTAACCTGCTGACGGTTATATTAAAAAACAAGATTAATGATTTGTCAACGAATTCAAAGGTTACTGACATGATTCATCCCCCATATGTCACCTGTCGTGACCATTCGTTGTGATCCCTTTTTCTTTGAATCGTATATATGATTATTGAGTTTTTATTCAGATGGGTGACACCATGGTGGTGCTGTATGTCTGTCTTACTGATAGTGCTATCAAGCCACGGGGTCGCCCAGATAACAGGTTGGCATGTGTTAAAGTAGTTCAGCCTCAAGCTGCACAGTCACTCACAGACATCCGGGCAGGTCAGTTCATTTGAAAAACTTAGGTTTGATTGTAGCAGATAGTGGTTTGGGATTCCTGTAGGAGTGTATTATAAAAGAATATGTTACATATGACGTTGCTTCGTTAAACCTATTCATGGCATGAATTTTCAGCATGCAAATATGATTCATCTCCGTTTTATTTTAAAGCTCGTAGATACCATATAAAATATACGGAATGTTGAGAAAACTGCAGTGGTGAATGTATTCATATATTAAACATTGCATGATGATCTTTAACGCCATAGCTGTATGTAACATCACCTAACGTATTATAAAGTCAACTACTGCTCTGGTCTGTTGAGAGTACTTCTCATGGCTCTAACGCCCGAGTTGTCGAAAAGATTGATGTTCCAAACGAAAACTAAACACCAACGGTGGATAAATATATTCTGGTTTATTCTTAATGGAACCTGAAAAGTTAGACGAATCTTAGGTGTTTAAAAGTGATTTGCTGGGAATAATCTGCTTATAAGACAGGCGGAACCAGAGGGACTTTAAACACTGCTAATCAAACGAAACTTAAATATCATTAACTGTTGACATAGCGTATGCATAAAAAGGATTTCTGCAAAAGCACAGTAGCTTACAGTGAGAAGTACAGTAGCTTACAGTGAGAAGTACAGTAGCTTACAGTGAGAAGTACAGTAGCTTACAGTGAGAACTACAGTAGCTTACAGTGAGAAGTACAGTAGCTTACAGTGAGAAGTACAGTAGCTTACAGTGAGAAGTACAGTAGCTTACAGTGAGAAGTACAGTAGCTTACAGTGAGAAGTACAGTAGCTTACAGATGTGCTTACAGTGGGTACAGGCATTGTTTGGGTACAGTAGCTTACAGCGAAAGTACAGTAAGAACGAAATCGGTAAGGAATAATAGGATGTGGTGTGTGGCAGAAGAGTCTGGTACATACAGGTTCAAGAGTAACAAATCATGTGTAAGTTGGATGTCCTCGAAACTCATAAAACTGTGAACAACGCATCCTTGTGTATTAAGAAAGTGTAACCGAGGGATTGTCCTGTCTCAACCCAACACAATACTGAATAGTACATAGACAGCTAGCTCAACTCACTCGCTGTCATTGACATGTTCGCAGATGATTCATCTTCTCTTACTGGGGCTCTTTGCGAGCCCGTCGGCAGCGAATACGGTGCCTGTTACCATGGGCAACCATTGGAGTGGTGGATTCCAGGGTGATTTCTGTCTACCATTCACTCTTGACGTCACTTCCTGGAAAGCTCGAATTCATTTCAGCATGCCGACAAAGTCTCTCGAGGTCGGTTCATACAGTTTGAATTACATTCATATTAAAATTAGATGCT